CATAAATTATCTTAGCATAAACTATTTTCCTCATAAACTTAGCTGATAGAACTTTCAGTCAGAGTCAAGGGTTTGCTGTGAGTTTTAGGAAACTGATCGTGTAAGCCTTTTTCTAAAGATGTCTATATAAACTTTGAAGTCTTACTTTGCACATCCTCAGTTCGTTTTGGTCGGGTTTCAGAGCTAAACATACTGTAGCACTAAATCAGACCCTTTTAAGAGTGTTAAATTAACCAGTACAATTTGTGGATATAAGAAAATACACACTTTTGGTATTATTGGATGTAAATGCAGCAACAATACATGGAATCATGCATTCTTTAAAAAAAGTTACAATTTAGGGTGGTATCTGTAATAAAGATGCACATTTGTCTTATTAATAATCCTTTTTTGTGTGTAGATGCTGACAAATTATTATTTTCCAGATTTAGTTATGTTTGGGCTCCATTTTGGGCACAAATAAATTATTTTACTCTCCCTCTCTCTTTGCTTATAGGGTTAGGATTAATTCTCTCAAGGTTTTTTTTTAATTCTTTAATGTTTTTCTTCTAATTTATGCAAAGACACTCTATTATAATGATCAGTAAAACCTTTCTTTTTAGTTAATTTAGCCAGCACTCAATACCGTAAGGACAAAATGTCCACAATAAATCAGATTTAATCTACATTATTTGATCGCAGTGCCACTTCATCCTGTTGGCAAGAATAAAAATGTATATTTTTCTGTAATGTTAATTTTTACTTTAAATCAGGGCCTGAAACAAACTAACTGTAAAACAGAATGTATAACCAGCGTAATTTCACACAACCTAAATGTATTACTCTAATTATTTGTCTTGGGACTTGGACTTGAGGAATGTGAAATAAAGTACACTTAAAGTGAGTTCATTTAACAATTACTCATCCCCAAAAACACAAATCACAAAAAGGAATACATTTTATTCATGCATTCCATTTCCATAATGCACTCATGTAAAAAAAAAAACACAGATTCCTATTAATAACAAGGTCAAGTTAGCTGTTGTACTATGGTTATGCTAGCTGACTAGTTTCATTTGTAATAATATTCAACAGTTTCATGTATTAATAAAGAATTCAATTGTATGTATTATTTAAGAAATAAATTAATTTCAATCACAGTAAATTCCATAAATTCCAAAGTTTTTTTTTTTCCATTGTTTGAAGTAATGTACATGAAATAGCTTTTTTTGAAGGGGTGGTGCACCATGATATCATATTTTAAACTTTAGTTGATGTGTAATTAAGCTGTGTGACCATAAACATCTCTAAATGTAAGACTCCCAAAGTTCAATGCAAATGGAGACATTGGCTTTCACAAAGTTAGCTTAGCAAAGCCTACAGCGAAAAAGTTTGGGGCTACAAATCAGATCACAAATGCTTCAGGTTACATGCATTCACCAAGCGCATACACCCCGTGACCCCGAGCAAAGAAGGGGCGTGGCAAGAGGAGCTGTAATGTTATAGCAGAAAACGCTAAAATGCCGTCCAAACAACTATTTCCACAGAGCGTGATCTGTTTCTGTATTTGGGCTTCCAAAGGACATGACACAAAAAGAGTAGTGCTTACGATTTAATTTTAATTATGTTGCAGAGAATAATAAATATAAATATATAGCTAGCATTTGACAAAGGACAGCTTCCAGAATCTCTACAAGTTCAGTGCTTGATTCGGCTAAAATCTCCTCAAAGACGAACATTTGCAACCATAATGGAAGAAGCTGTGGATTGTGAGCCACAACCTGTAACTATTTTTATTTGTTAAAAATTACGTTTTTCATTTATAGTTTCTAGCGTTAACAGCATGTTGTAGCAAGGACGTAAACAAGGATGTAAACAACGGGAAATGCATTCTACACCTCAAATAACGAACTCAAAAAAGATATGTGAATGTTTCTGCCTGATTCAGGTTCAATCCGATACTGCTACCAACTTCTATGACTGACAGTTTTTACACAACGACAAAGCATGTGCAATTAGAAGCGTGACACTTTTGCTCGTGACATGGAGTCGATAAGCAAATCACAGCACATTATGTTTTTATGTTAGCTGAGTAGCAGTAAACAATTAAAGATATATATAAAAAAATAACATGATGTTTTACAAATAAAGCATGAGCAAACATTACTTTGCATTTTATAAACACAACCCAGCCTTAAAAATACACTCTGAGGACCACTCCTTTAAAGAGTTATATAAATTATAATGACCTTGATAATACACCCCCCCAAAAACTAATATACTTAAGTAGAATGCCATGTACTGTATGTGGAGCTGTTAAAAATCTTTGGTAAGACTTTAGTTTAAGTACCAATTGTCACTGTTAACAAGTAGGGTATTATCTGCCTATTATCTCTCTATATTGCCTAGCTGTTACTTCCCTAATCGTATCCAATACCTAAACCTAACTATCACTTTATTAACTATTAATAATCAGCAAAACGGAATTTTGCTGAGCTAAAATTCATATTTTATTGTTCGTTAATAGCAAGAATTGTACCTTAAAATAAAGTAACCAAGTCATTTTCCCCCTGACCATTTAGAAAGATGAGAAATCACAGTTTGTTTGATGACAAGAACATAAGTTATATGTTTTCACTGCGTATATGAGTAATATACTATGTCATGTATATGACAGCAGCTATGGTCCATCAGTCCGGTGACAAATCAGCACTTGTAAACAGCACTTGCTGTTCAAGCATGATTCCAATCATTATAATAAAATCCAGCTATTACAAGAATGTAATATCTGCCAGTTCCACATATCAGTATTTCTTCATAATCACTCTGCAGATATGATAGACCCTGAAAGAAAACTCTCCAATACACACAAACACACACCACAATCTGTTACAATGTCTTGTTTAACAATGTTGTTTGACACTGCCATAAACCAGGCCTTAAGGATATTGCTTTTCCATGACTACACACACAAGATTATCATCTCAAGATCCACATCACAAACGATATCAGCATCACTTACCAGGAAATTACATTTTTACCCCTTAAGGACTAAACCGCAATCTCCTAGGCCTTAGACAGGAGTCATATACAAATGATAGATTAAAAAATACACACAAATATATTAACACCAAAGGCTAAAAGGAAGTAGACGTGTGCCTTTTGACTCAGAAAAGCTTCAGCTCTAATATAAATGTGCTGTTACAAATTAAAGACAGATATCTCATGGTAGTTCCCCTTCAGTCTATCATGTTAAGCTGGATTTCACTCGGGGATTCACTAGTCGAATCCAACATAACGTCTCCATTTCCTCTTTCGGGGAATGATGGTTATATTCGTAACCAAAATCTTTAGTTTGTTCACTTATTCATTGACATGTTTAGTTTATTTGATTTCATCTTATGTTAAATTAATTAGTTTCTATCAGTTTATAATTTTGCAATTTTCTGCAATTCTGTTGCAAACCAGTTAAGATTTTTATTTAATACGACTTATTTTAAGTCAATAGCTGAGTTTTAGATCCACTGATTTTCTTCTTGCATAAACTGAAATTGATTAAATAATTAATAAACTATTACGGCTCAGAACAATGTTTTCCAAATGAGGCTCATTCTGAAAATCTTCTGCTCTGCTATATACACCCATCCACTCCATCCCTAAACCCAACCTATAGTGTTTTTAAAAGCACAGATTGACCAGAGCCCACCCTTTTCCCTAAACCTAACCGACAGTGTTTTGAAAAGCAATGCAGAAAAAGAAAGGCCCTCATGGCAGCCAGATTTTACCACATTCTCACCCTGTTATTTCATTGTTTGTTTTATTTTTTGGCTTTTGTTTTTGTCTTATCTGCTTTCTGGAACCGTTCTTCTCAGGTCTTAAACCCTATTGTCACGGTCAACTCTGTGACAGCCATCCACACAGAGATAAGCAGAGTGAAAGTGCGAAAAGGAACAGTGTCATACTGTCCCTTCGTTTTAAAGTAGAAATGCAGCCATAAATTATTTTGGATACATAATTCGCGATCTCCAGTTATGTATATAGGGTTGTGTTTTCAGAATGATTCTAGGTTGCATTTTTCCCAGTTTTTCCTGCCATGTTTTGACACTTTGCTTTGTTTATTGTTTATGTTGTCTTGCCACCTGCATAGATATCTTTGCCTGTGACCAGGACTTCTCTTTTGGATTGCCCTCAAGCTACTGTTTGTACCTGTTTGACCATTGCCTACCTGACAACTCTTTATTATTAAACTGCACGTGGATCCTCATCTCTGTTGCCAGACTCACTGGATGTACTTTATTTCTTACTTACTGGATTATTTAAACTGAAAGCAATCAGCTAAATTTGAAGCCACTACTGCATCTCAGAGTGCATCAGTGTAGTTGAGTAAAAGTAAAACTGTACACCACGGCCAAAACTTTTAATTCCGTCATTATTTATTCAACCTCAACTTGTTCCAAACCTGTATGTGCTTCTTTCTTCTGTTGAAAAAGATGATGTTCTGAAGAATTAACCATTGACTTCCATAGTATTTTTCCAACATTTTTTTAAATCTTTGTGTTCAACAGAAAAAAGAAATCCAAAATTAAAATTGTTGGGTGAACTATCACTTTAAAAGGAGACTTGTTCCAATCTTTCTCCTTTAGCGTAAACCAAAATCAGCATGACATTTATACCAGGGCACAAATCCTCCATCCTCATGGGCTGCGCAGTGATACAGGCGTTCTGAGATGAACTCATCAATCTGGAGAGCGAGTGGGTGGTCAATGCTGAGCTCCAGTGGGGCACAGGGACTCAGGATTGAGTTAGACGCTGCTGAAATTCATACCGGGCGGCCCAAGGCCTCCAGCTTTATGAGGAACAATCCTCCACTTCCACTCGAGTGGCAAAAACACCATTAACGCTCTCCACCAGGGGACAAACGATAACGTGAACGAATTACAATGGCATTGTGCGCGTGTGAGTGAATAGATGGCAAGGGTTTATTATCTAGCTGTAAGCCACAAATGAGACAGACTGCTTACCTGCTCATACTTTGCTGCCTTCTGGTTATCGTTGAACAAGCGTAGATTCAGACGCGCTTTCTCCTGCAGAACATGCTGAAGCTCACTCTCCTGTCACAAACAAACACAGAGAGAAGAGTATTGAGTCTCAGTTTCGAGGTACAGATTTATAGCCGTGCTTATGTTTAGCAGGAATACTCACAAGCACACATTGATAAACACACGTTTAGAGAGCAGGGTGTATTTCTAGTAAGAACAGAGAGTTTCGTACACTGCTAGTGTTAGTCAATGCATTATTCATTTTGAGGAGAGCAAGATGAAGAGAGAGTGAGAGAGAGAGAGAGAGAGAGAGAGGGAGAAGGAGAGAGAAAGGCTGTAGTCCATCTGTCTGAGAAAGACTGACACTGGGGGTTTTAACTAGAGATCAGTAGTCAACAGAAATCATGCTGTTCTAACACAACACGGCTGGAATACACTACATTTACAGAGTTTATGGCTAAATCCACATGTCATAAGTGACATCAGAAGGAAATAAAAGTTCTGAGAAAGAGGAAGTTTTTTATTTTGCATGCAATATTTTAATAATAGTGTATGTACAAAAAGATTATGTGGTTTTCCATGTGCAAATGTGCACATATGCATATATAAACTGATCACTGAAATGTTATTTTCTGATTAACTTTTTTTATTTAAAATTTTACTTTGTGAAACTTAAAAGGTTGGGCTGAGTACAATGTTGTATAAATAAAAGCAATCATTTATTATTAGTTTTATTTTGCACCTTTGCTGTAAATCAAATTCAGTTGAAATAAAAGGTCAAAATATGGGGTATGTACTTTCATTCATTCATTCATTTTCCTTCGGCTTAGTGCCTTATTTATTTGTGATCACCACAGCAGAATGAACCGCTAACTATTCTGGCATATGTTATAATGTTATACGCAACAAATGCCCGTCCACCTGCAACCTACTGGGAAACACCCATACACTCTCACATACACATTCATACACTAAAGCCAATTCTGTTTACCCAATTCAATTATAGCACATGTCTTCGGACTGTTGGCAAACCAGAGTACCAGGAGAAAACCCACACTAACACGGGGGGAACGTGCAAACTCCACACAGAAATAACAACTGGCCCAGCCGGGACTCATCCAGCGATCTTCTGCTGTGAGGAAACAGTGCTAACCACTGAGCCACCGTGCAGCCCAGAGTCAGTGCAATTTTAGAAAAATAAATAAGATGTTTAGGGACTAAAGACACCAAGTGATGAAGTGTTTTAGGTGTAATTTTGTCCCATTCTTCCTTTAAGTCTTAAGGTGGGCAACAGTACAGGGTCTTTGTTGTCGCATTTTGAGCTTAAAAATGCGCAACACATTCTCTGTTGGAGACAAGTCGGGACTGCAGATAAGTCGGCGGCGCTTCTGGACACTGTTAACATAGGGCTTCCTTTTGGCACAGTACAGTTTTAACTGGCCTTTGTGAATGTAAAAACGTGTTGTGGTACTTGACAAAAGTTTGCAAAAGTATTCCTGAGCTCATGTGGTGATATCACTTATTGGATGAATGATGATTGTTGATGCAGTGCCGCCTGAGGGATCAAAGATCGTAGTAGTTCAGCTTGTTTTTTACGCACTGAAATTCCTCCAGATTTCTTGAATCTTTTAATTATGTTATGCACTGTTGAAGTTGAAATATCCAAATGTAACACGCTCTGTGTCAGCCTTTTTAATTTAATAAATTTGTATTTTTGGAGCCTTGGTGTTGTCGCCTTTGATTGACATTCATTTGCACGTTTTGCGGTTTTGGCTGAGCACCCAATTTAGAGAGATGTGCGTGCTTTTGTACAGTTTTTTCACTCCTAAAGCATTAGACCTTACTTGAATGCTGCTTTTGTACCAAATCCAAATTATACTCACCTGTTGACATCACCTGTTTTTAATCACATCATTATATAACCGGTTTGCCTGATTACTAGCCCTAAATTGCTCCTGTCCCAACTTTTTTTGAAATGTGTTGCAGGTCTGAATGACAGGAATGTATATTTACAAATAAAATGAAGTTAATCAGACAAAACATGAAATATTTTGTGTTCTTATTGTCTGTAATGAAAAGTCAAAGTAATTTTGGAAATCATTTCTTTCTTTTTTATTTGCTTTTTCCATATTGTCCCTGTAATGATCAGACACTGGACAACGAACGTGCAGATCCAAATGGACAGGAAAGTGGTCACAAACAGGGACAAATAGGAGCACCAAAGTAACCCAAATTGCAAGGTCAGGGTAGATGGCAAAGAATCAAACACGGTTAAAAAGTGAAAGGTCAAAAACACCGGAAGACTAGACGAGGGAAAAATGCTTTGTAATGTTAACAGAAAAACAGAAACAAGATTCAGCAAAGAGTGTGTAAAATTGGGATGTATGCTGTATGTACAGTTGTACATGTTCAGACTACCATCATTGAACTTTTTCTGCACTGTAACAGAAATGAACACTTTCTGTCATGTCAATGAAACACACTAAAATGAAATCAAAACAACATTTACAGAGACATGTTTACAGCCAGCTGAGGTCACAAGTTATAAGCATTGCATCATTGGACTTAAAAAACCGACAGTGGAAAAAAGCGACAGTGTTGATAAAGTGATTACTGCAGGGCAGCAATCAAAAAGAGAGAGACATAGTGAGAAGAAAGTAGTGCTGATGAAGCAAATATGTCTCTCTCATGACTGAACCATTGGTGCACCTTTAAATAGCTCTGTGTAATTAGGTTAACTTCTCCAATCATTGGTTAATCTTGAATGCTGCAGAAAATTTGCATACGCCCCCAAAGCAAAACCACGTCCTACACAGCTGAGGATTCTCCTCATAATACATCATACTCCAGAAACATGCACTTGCTGTGGCACTGCTGCCACTTCAAGATGGAGACACAAATGTGAGTGTTCGTATGTATGTCTCTATAATGCAGTCTTCAAGAGGCTTGAAAACTGTTTTCTATTCCACAGAAGAAAATTGGATTGCTCAGAGCGCTGATTTCAACCTGCATAGTTCAAGCACTTAGCAATAAGGTTGCTTTAAAGAACTGAATATTCTAGGTTTGCTTGATTACATTTATATAAACAGAAGGCAACTGAGAAAATATTAAATTATATTATGCAATTTCACAATTAACCAAATCAAATAATTATTTAAAACCCAAATAATCATGTATAATAATGTATCATTTCTTTCTTTGTAATGTAATGTAATGCAATGTGTATTTATATAGCGCATTTATTGTGTATACACCCAAAGCGCTCCACAATCATGAGAGGGGTCTCTCCACACCACCACCAGTGTGCAGCATCAACCTGGATGATGCGACAGCAGCCACAGGACAACGGTGCCAGTGCGGTCACCACACACCAGCTATTGGTGGAGTGAAGAGACAGTGAAGAGCCAATTGGGTGGAGATGGATGATTGGGAGGACATGATCATAAGGACCATTAAGGGACTTTGGCCAGGACACCAGGGTTACTCCTCTGCTCTTTACAAAAAGTGCCATGGGAATTTTATTGACCACAGAGAGTCAGGACCTCGATTTAACGTCTCATCTGAAAGACAGTGCCCACTGACAGTATAGTGTCCCCTTCACTTTTATATTAGGGCATTAGGACTCACACAGACCACAGGTTGAGCACCCCCCTGCTGGCCTCTCTAACACCACTTCCAACATTCTCCCATGTGGTCTCCCATCCAGGTACTGACCAGGCTCAGCCCTGCTTAGCTTCAGTGAGTAACCGGTCTTGGGCTGCAGGCTGATATAGCTGTGGCATATTTGTTTCATCTTTCATTGGATGAAACAAAAATAAGGTTTATATTCCGCCTCAGAAGGTCCTAAGTGAAGTTTATTTATAAACAAATTTCGAGAGGATCACGTGCTTATGATTGTTCACAGCTGTTCCAACTTTAGCTAATGACTGATTATCCTATCAGACGATCCTTAACTCACTATAAATAACCAGACTTTTCTCATCTCAATATCTTCGTCTTGAAGAAACCCCCCCACCCAACCCTACTTTCCCTCCTTTCAAACGGGCGTCACGGTGGCCAGCGATTAGCGATGTTGCCTCACAGCAAGAATGCCCCTGGTTTAATTCCTTTCCAAACCAGACAGCATTTCTGTGCAGAGTTTGCTCGTTCTCTCTGTGGTCGTGTGGGTTTTCCCCGGGTCCTCCGGTTTCTTCCCACAGTTCAAAAAACAAGTACTCTAAACAATTAATCCAAATACTTTAGCTAAACTCTGAGTACACCTTTCCGCATCCATATCTGACTTCGCTAAAACAAGCAAGAGGGGGAGTCATCGAGATCTACCTGAGCTCAAACTCCCCTCTCGCCTTGCAACGGGAGAGAGCCCAGGGCTCCAGAATCTTATAAGCTCAGGGCTCTCTCCCGGGACAGCACGGCAAACTAGCTTTATTATCAATCATCAGCTAAGTGTGAACTCTTGAAATGACATGAGCTGAGGAATCAATGTGGAACTTTTACAATGTGGATTGTGTCAAATCAGCTTAACATACAAGTTCTAGTAAATTGAAACTGTGTCAGTCCAGTTTTCAGTTCAATGTTGAAGTTCAGTTTAGTTCAGTGTGGTTTAATTTTCACTGCTGAAAGTCCAAACACTGAAGAGCAAATCCATCAATGCGCAACTCCACAAGTCTCAAACCAAGCAAACCATATATTTGTATATATATATACAGTATATATGTGTGTGTGTATGTGTAACCACAAAGCGTCATTGCATTATGCAATCAAGCTAAAAGGTCAAGCATGACGTTTGCGGAACTACCTATCGAGTGTGTCAAGTAGTTCCAAAGAAACAATTATCAACAACAAAATGTGCAAGTCTGTGCAGTTTATGTTCTGAAGCAAAGCTGAAGCAGTAGAAAGAGAGAGCCTATTGTCACACTTGTCGCACACACTTATTTCAGGTACCGGAGTTAGTTGAAACACCTACACATGTAGATATGGCAGAAAGCCAAAGGCAGTGCCGGTGCCTTTCATACACATTCAGCTGATCCAGGCCCGTAGCCAGGGAGGGTTCGGGGGATTTGGAAGACCCACCT